ACACACACACACACACACACATATATATATATATATATGTATATGTGTATCTAATTTTGGTATGCAAACATATATTGTATTAAAAATCAAATACAAAATTTTATTAAAATAATACATTTTTTTACATTAAGCAAATACTCCCTCAAGACTCATATATAAGCAAAAATACCTAAATTTATACATATTAAAGAAATTAGTTAAGTTCATTTAGTTTTATTGATTTCATATACAAACTAAATTTTACTTCCTAAACCAACCCTAATAATGTTTATTAGAAAGAGTAATCATTTAATTTTAAGGAATATTTTTTAAATGATAGTATTAAATAGGATCAGGTTAGTTAGAAATTTCCTTACATTTAAGTCAAAATATTATTTTTGCTTATGTAAACATGGTTAACACAATGTCTTAAAGTCAATAATCAAGGACTAATATATACTTATGAGACATAATTTTTGTTGTTCAAACATTATTTTATTACAAACTAGAATTAAATCTAATAATATCATGCCAAACATTATTCTTGCTTATGTTTGAGTCTAGAAGCAGTAATATAGTTTCAAATATTTAAAAAGATGTATTTCATTTATTATTCAATTTATTTCTACACTATTATTTATCGTTGACAAATATCATCATTAATTTCAAATTAAAATTTTCATGTATTTTTGCTCTTTATTCGTATATTAAATTTTAACTTTAACGTTTTTTAAATATGCATTGTACTATATAAATATTTATTTTTTATATAATTATAAATATAATATAGAATGATCAGAGAGCGAAAACTTCACCATACAAGTTAGATATTTTTATTAATACTATAGGATGAGATTCTTTCATAATTTGGGATTTTAGTTGGTGATTTTTATTTTGTTGAAAATTTTTTTTTTGCACAATATTATCATATGTCTATAATCCATTACATATCAGAATGAGTAAGAAACTTATTTAATATAAGTTTATCAATTTAATACATAAAGGAAAAAAAAAATAGCAACTACGTCGATGTTCTTATTATAAGACACTTATAATTAAATAACTCATATGCTATAAGTAGTGATTTAGTTGAGTTTATAAAATAAAATTATGATTTAACAATTTTATCCTTTTTATTTATCATTAAATTTTTATAAGAGAGAAATATTATTCCATATTCAATGCTTGTGCACTAATACCAATAAAATTGATAAATGATAATTAGAAAGTTTAAAAAGTGAGAAAGAATAATTATTTATCAAATTATCTTCTTAATATCTAATAACAAAAAACACATTCTCTTAATCTTTAATAGAGACAAAATATGTAAAATAAAATTAATATTTTATAGAAATATTAAAATGCCTTATGAAAAGGACAATCATTTCCTTTTTATATTGTCTTTGATGATAAGAACCAAAGGAAGTAAAAAAATAATACTTTATAATAACATGTCATATTCTAATTTAGATATAAAAATAAAATATGACAATAAATAATGATTTTAATCTATATTTACCTTCTTAGCCATAAGTTCTTGGGTGGTCGTCCCTTTCTCCAATCCCTAAGATTGACATTGCTTAGGACACTCTCTCACACTCATTCTAACACTCTCTTTATCTTTAGTTGATATTTATTAGAAATCATAGATTTTTGTAGATCTCTTATCTTATTTAATTAGTGTTTGTGGTGATTTTCGTTTGTAAGTCCTTTTTATTCGAACTGGCAATACTTCAATTTAGGTATGCATGACAATTTTCTTAGTTACAAATTAACAAATTGAGTATGAATTAAAATGCAAATATTTTTTAATGTTCATCAATAAGTATCAAAAAATAAGTCTCATCCATGTGAATATTTAAATGGATTGAATGAACAACATGCACATTAAAAATAGAGATCATAATTTTTATGCTTCTCCTACTTGCTGGATTACAACAAATAATGATTTTGGCAAAGCAAAGAAAAAATACAAAACACTACACTAAACTAGGCTAAGATAATCTAACAAAAGAAATGATAAAGATGTGGCCAAGAAGTCATATTCAGCAATCTCGTACACAGGAGCCATAAATGTAGGCAATGAGTGCTTGTGAGGGTTCTCAAGTATGATTTTCTGACCCCTAGAGATAAGGTTGTTTACTCTATTAAATGGAAGTAGTTAATTCTAGATAAGTTTGACGTGGTATTCATAACTGCTCCCCACTACGTAACATGAGTAACCTCCTCAACCTCTTTTAACTTTTGGTAACTACCCTTTTGTTCATCTTTTGAATATCTATTTCGATAGCGGTTAATATGACGTGTCATGCATATAAATAACTCCTCTGAACCGCATTACCCTCTGATAATTTCCCGTTAGTAAGTCTTCAAATATCTATTTCGAGAGCCATTAACATGATATGTCGTGAGTGTTGATAACTTCCGCCTTAACCTTTTTCCGTTTTTTTGACCTCCAGATATATATATCTAAATACCTTTTCTCGAAGTCTTCATATTTTTGAGAGACTCATTATACATCGTTTTTAAGGTGTGACCAGTCAATGTGTGATTTTGAGTGACTTGCATCATTTATGGGCTTACCTCTGTCATTTAAAGATCTCTCGATTACCATAAACAGATGCCCCCCCAGAAAACCTTTTGCTTTGAGGTGAGATAAAGTTAAAGTTTCCTATATCTTTTACCTTTCATTTTTGAAAAAATTGTCATATCTGTAATCATTAAATACTCCTGCCGTTAATTTGGAGGAAATCTCCCGATTTATTACCCTTTATGATTTGGACAACGCGTGATCACATCTTTCTAGGAGCGTTATCAGGTGATTTGAAATATTGGCCCATTCTGTTCAGGCTCATTTACCCTTGTTTAAATTCTCCTAAGTGCCTAGGGTATTTTACTTTTACTGCTCTTTAAGAGTTTATCTTCCACCCCGTGTCTTTTATGCACTTTCTTGCTCATCCTGCCATGGCTTCCTCTGTCACCTCTACTTCGGCTACCGCCTCTAGGCTCTCTCCCATGCTCATTTATGCTCCTCTACATAGTCACTTCCTCTCCCTTTTGTCTTTTGTTTAGATGCTGTTAATTAGAATTTGTGTTTCCCTTTTTTGGCTTTCTTGTTGGGATGCAAAAATGTTGAATGCTTATTTATGTAGGATGATGGTTTTTGAATATTTTGAATAATTCCCTTTGGTAAAGAAAGTTTTCTAAGTGTGTGAAATGCTTTTAGATGCATGCAATGCGTGTTGATTTTAGTTTTTTAGAAGGTGGCTTCCCTTTTCTCCTTTTCATGAATAAACTACTCTGCTTGATGCACAACATTAGTTGTATTGGCCATTTGATGTATTGAACTGTCTTGGGGCACTCTTTTTTTTTCTTTTTGTTTAGAAACCTTAATTTTTTCCTAGGATGTATCCTAGCGGGTATTTTTGCTCTTTTCTTTTGCCCTAATTTTTTCCTAGGATGCCTTTTGCGGGTTTTCATCCTAGCGGGTCATTTTCATTTTTTTGCACTTGTTTAATTTTTGACAACCATCAACAATATATGTCATTAGGATTGGACAAGATAGAAAGGAAAGAAAAGATGATTTACAATGAATGAGTGATTTGTTAGAAAAGAATGGCTCAATCCAAGAGGGGGGTGAATTGGATTCTATGACACTTTAAAAATTTTCAGAGATCTTAGGATCTTTATTTCAATTCAAACTTTTCTAATATGAATTTTCAAAGAAGTTCCTTAAAAGACTTGCTAATGAAAATGAGTCCTATATGCTTTCTTGATTAATCTTTGATAAAGTTCAAAGTTAAGAACAATCAATATGCAACTCTTTGATTCAGTTTAAAGAAATGTTGTGCATACAAACATGTTAATCAAGATTATTCCTTTTAACACACACCCAAGATATTACTCAAAGTAAAAGATAATGGTAAGAGAAGATTGCACAAGTCTTTTATCCTGGTTCAGCCACTCGACATGTGACCTGCATCCAGTCCTCAATCATAAACTGATCAAGATTTGTTCCACTAACTTAATGAAGAAGGTTTACAAGCATACCACACATGCATATACTCCTACATTCAAGATAACCACTTTCTTGACCCCAAGAAAGCACCTCTTGTAGAAACCCACTACAAGAATTCCTTACCACTTGAGACACCTTCTCAAGATTTACAATTATTCACAAAGAATTATCTACTTTCCCTCTTACATAGTCATTCTCAATCAAAAATTTGCTCAACCTGTCATACCATGATCTTGGAGCTTGTTTCAAGCCATAGAGTGCCTTTTTAAGTTTGTACACATGATTAGGATACTTAAAATCAACAAAACCTGGTGGTTGCTCCACATACACTTCTTCTTGTATTAAACCATTAAGAAAAGCACTTTTCACATCCATTTGATAAAGCTTGAAATTCATTATTGAAGCATAAGCAAGAAGTAATCTAATGGCTTCTATTCTTGCTACAGGGGAAAAAGTCTCATCATAATCGATTCCCTCTTCTTGATTATACCCCTTAGCCACTAACCTTGCCTTATTTCTTATAATGATTCCTGATTCATCAAGCTTATTTCTAAAAACCCAC